AAAAATGGAGAGTAAAGGCATTAAGGTGGTTCAATAAAAACACAATAAAAGACAGAGCATACTATGGAGCTAGACTAGAGTCAGAGTTTATTCTTCCAAAAGATGGTATAAAATATATGGAAACAAAGCAACAAGAGTTAAAAACCTCAAATGTGCTAGATGACAGTATTCAGCTACTGAACAGCTGAGCTAATAGATCAGGTAAAACATTCTCTTCTGAATAAACCCTAAGATGCTCCACAAAGGCCAGAGTCCCATTTTAGTCCCAGAACCACACACGAACTGAGCACACTGCGCTCTCTTAGGTATTCCTTGTTAAAGATCTCAACTTTTTTCATCTATGGACACATGTACATAACACTCAGTCACAATACCTAAGGTAAAAATAGGCAAAAATATTGGGACTAGGTTACAACATTTTTTAATGGTAATTAAAAAAAAAAGACATATTTCTTGGTTTTAAAATCAAACAAAGTATCATATACATAAATAAATTCAATGAAACGAGGGATAAAGACAGAATGAAAACAGAATGAACTCCACCCACCTATTCACTGCCATCGAGTTGATTCTGACTCACAGTGACACTGGGTAGGTTTCCAATGCTATAAATCTTTATTGTTGTTGTTAGGTGCTGTCAAGTCGGTTCCGACTTGTAACAAACCTACGCACAACAGAACCAAACACTGCCAGGTCTCACGCCAACCTTACCATCGTTATGCTTGACTCACTGATGCTGCCACAGTGCCAATCCATCACGTTGGGGTTACTCCTCTTTTTCACTGACCCGTCCACTTTAACAAATATGTTGGCCTTCTCCAGGGACTGGTCCCTCCTATTATTATGTCCAAAGTAGGAAAGACAAACTCTCGCCATCCTGGCTTCTAAGAAGCATCCTGGCTGTACTTCTTCCAACACAGATTTGTTTGTTCTTCTAGAAGTATGTGGTACTTTTAATATTCCTCTTCAACATCATAACTAAAATGCAACAATTCTTCTACAGTATTCCTTATTCATTGTCCAATTTTCACATGCATATAATGCAACTGAAAATACCATGTTTGGGTCAAGGGTACCTTAGCTCCCAAATTCACACCTTTGCTCTTGAACACTCTAAAGAAGTCTTGTGTGGCAAATTTATGGACTGCAATGCATTGTTTGACTTCTTGACTACTGGCTTTCATGAGCACTGATAGTGGATTCAAGCAAAATCAAGTCTATGACAGTTTCAATCATTTCTCCATTTATCATGATGTTATTTATTGGTGCAGTGGTGAAGACTTTTGTTTTTGTTCTGTTGTGCATAGAGTAGCTATGAGCTGGAACTGACTTGACGGCACCTAACAACAACAATCCTGGAGAGTAAGTTTGCGAGTGTCTTCCTATATCCATTTTGGTCTTTTCTTTGTCTCCTTAATGACCTTTTGCTTTCTTCCTGTTTGATGTTCTTGATGTCATCTTACAACTCTTCTGGTCTTTAGTTATTAGTGTTTAATGTATCAAATCTGTTCTTTGAATGGTCTTCAGGTGGGATATGCTCACAAGGTCATATTTTGGCTCTCACGGACTTCTTTCAATTTTCCTCAACTTCAGACTGAACTTGCGTAAGAGCAAGTGATGGTCTGTTTCATAGTCTCCACCTGCTTGTTCTGGCACCTATGGAGCTTTTCAAACTTCTCTTTCCACAGATGTAGTCAGTTTGATTTCCGTGTATTCTATTTCGTGAGGTCCATGTGTATACCAGTGGGCTCAAGCATGGCAACAATTGTGAGGATGGCCTAGGATCGGACAATGTTTCGTTCTGTTGTGCATGGGGTCACTATGAGTTGGTACCGACTTGATGGCACCTAACAACAATAACATGTATATAGTCATCTTTTACATTGATTAAAAAAGGTATTTGCAAGGAGTAAGTCATTGGTCTTGTAAAATTCTATCATGGGAAATTCAGCATTGTTTCTATCACCAAGGCCAGATTTTTCAACTACTAATCCTTCCTCTTTGTTTCCAACCTTTTCATTCCAATCACCAATACATCTTGGTTACATGTTTGATCAATTTCACACTGAAGAAGTTGGTAGAATTTGTCAGTTTCATCATCACCAGCTTTAGTGGTTGGCTTGTTAATTTTCACAGGAACAGCAAGCCTCATCTCACTCTAGATAAGTGGCTAGTCAAACTGAACTGTTTACTTTGCAGTTAGCACTCCAATGCATAACCCACTACACCAGCAGACCTAGAACTAATCCAGGTGAAAGATACTCTATATGCATTAAAACAAAAAGCTCCTCAGCTAGCCAAAGAAGTAATATTTTTCTTACCCATCAATGCGCTTAGTCACAGCAGCTCGTATAGATTCTGAAGCCAAAATTTCTTCTGGGTGTGTTTGGATTATATTCAGTGCTTGTGGGATTGTTGGGGTTGTGGAGGGTAACCAGGACATCCGGTTACGTTTCGTTCGTGCTGGAATAAGGCACATCTCCCCATGGTGAAAAAACACCTACAAAATGGCATTGTCTTAATTTCTGCACTTGTTAATGGCAAACTCATAGTATATATGAAAAAGACCGCAACATAATTTCATCTCTGAGCATTTTCTGGTGTTGGGTAGACTTACCCTATTGGTGCTGTTCTCAGGCTCCAACCATTTAGGAAGAAATTCAGCAGCCTCTATTAATAACAAGTCACCATAACTGTCTTCGATCCTAATGCAAAAGAAGTTCCAATTTTACATTCAAAAAGCATGTATTTGCTAGTAACCAAAGCCACAATTTTATTCTTGGATATAAGGGTGCTCTGGCACCATCTGTCACCCCAGTGGTAGCCAGAAGGCTGATCAGGCTGCCTCACTGCTTCATGCTCATGCCTCCCCCACTGCCCACTGGCGCTGTGCTGGGTAGAAGAGAGCTTTCCTGTTAGAGGAGGACCTCTTTTGGTAAACACTATATGAGTAGCTGAGCTCCTGCTAGAACCTTCAAACAAGCTCTTACAATTTTATTCTAATCCATTTTTTTAACTTCATCTTAGGAAATACCTGGATACATATATGTATACTTTGCTGTTAGAAAGCAAAATGTTTAAGATTCTATTTGGCACTGACGGAAACTATCAGGCTATGAAGAGGTGTTGGAGGGAGATGAAAAGCTAAGGACAAAAAATAAGAAAAGTACATAAATAAAAGGGGATTTCATAAAGTTCATATTCTTAAGTGCATCCAAAAAAAAAGCAACAACAGAGGAAATGGAAACAAATGCTGTCGCTGTTGAATGATGATGAATGGAGGAGATTGTAATCATTCCAATGAAACAAAATACAATAGGATGAATGTAAAGCTGATGTTCTCCCATCTAAAATATCACTCAATTCACAATAAAAACTAAAAAAAAAAAAAGTTCATGAAAAAAATTAGAATCAAAATAGAATTTTTCCCAGACTTTTAGAAGTCCCCTTGTAAATAATGATGTTGTCGTTAAGTACCGTCAAGTTGATTGCGACCTATCGTGACCCTGTATAGGGTTCCCAAGGAACAGCTGGTGATCTTGAACCACTGACCTTGCAGTTTAAATGACTTTGCAGTCTGACGCATTAGCCCACAGCGCCACTTAATAGTAGACAAAAATATGAACAATAGAAAATATTACAATAGGATTTCAAAGTAAGAAAAAACAAAATCACATATAGCTGGCATTAAGAAAGCCTTTATGGAGGAAATATTTGGGCCATGAAAGATAAATTCTGTCTTGTCTCATTTTCATCTCTTTTTAAAAAGTTAAATGTTTGAATAGATAATATATTCATATGGTTAAAATTATATAAAGATATAGTTACATAGTAAATTATCTCCTTTTTACTTTTGTTCCTATCTGTCTAATTTCTGCCTCCTACCACTGTTACTTCCTGTATATCCTTCTGGAATTTGTTTATGCATAATCTACTCAAAAGGAATAGATAATCTTATTTTCCCTTCTTTTCACCCAAAATATGGCATAGTATATATATTGTTCTAGCTTTTTAAACTTTTAATGGATAGAGATATAAGGGAAAAAGCAGACATGTTTGTGGGAGAAGAAAGCATGAAGGTGGCCATTAAAAGTGGACATCTGGAGAACAGGATTGGAAGAGCAGTCTCATCACTTAGTGGAAAGCTTTGCAGGCTGGTTGGATCAGTGAGAAGAAGCTTCGTTTTCCAGGCATATGAAAAGAATGAAAAGTTTTGGAGCAGGGTAATATCTTGATTGAAATTGCAATCTGGCAGGGATATAGAGGAAGTGTTTTCTTCTTTTTCTAAGTTTTTAAAAACTGAGAAGACAAAATAGTTAAGATTTAAAGAGCGTTATACAGATGGGTCTCTTGTGATACAATAGTGAGTAATTGTTATCAGGACTGATTGTGAGGGTCGGAAATGTAAAGGTTGATGTTT